TTACATTATCCTCGTCTTGGTGCAGCGGGTAGACCGAGAATCTGCAACAATGGCAAAAGCTTAGCTGGCTTAAGATGAGTCCGGGCATCTTTTCTCTGAGGACAAAGGAGGGATTTATATTCCAGCAATGTTCCCTGTTTATTTAAGGAGCTTTTCATGGTCTGAAATAAGGTAAACGAGAGCCTGTCACCTTTCTGAATCCACTCTGATTGCATATTGTGTGTTTAACAGTCTGCAGGTGTTAAACAGGAAGGTTTACAAAAACACGCCAACAGAAACAGACACTTTCTCTACACCTTTAACACAAATGTGAGTATTCAAACAGAGATGCCTCGGGTGGTGTATGTCTGTGTGTGTCTGTGTGTGTACACAAATAGCTTCCCAGCGACACACCCCGACTGACACGACTGCTCCGCCTGTGTTTAGTCCGTTTAGCCACTCTGAGCTTCTCACTGTCCTATTAGGTCACGCTGGCCTACATATTAAAATCTTATTCAGGTCAAATCTGAAGTTAGTGCAGCTCGCACGCAGGAGAGTCCCATTATTTCATGATAATGTCTTTTACTGACGATTCTCAAGGTCACCTTGATTAAACACTCGATAGCTTCAAATTTAAACCCAAACATATTTGAGCTCTGATTCTTTGAAATCAGAGCTTGAAATGTGGTAAACATATGTTTGACTTCCAGACGATTAAGCCCACAGACTGACAGTTTCCTCTCGTCGCACCCCGATGTTCACATTTCCAGGCTGAAGTGAAATTTGTCCATGAACTCGAGCACCTGCTGTGGACTCGAAAGTCCTTCTAGAAGCAAGTCTAGCAACTCAGCAGCCATTCTGGATCAAATCCAGGGAGTTACTCATTCCTCTGTATGAAAACATGTGAATGAGCGCCCGGTTGCTAACTTGATCTACAGGTAACTCACTTCCTCCTGATGACAGCCTCCTACACAAGTACCTGCCCAGGACAAAAGATTCACTCATTCATCTTTCGCTCAACCAGCCACACCTGCATCTACCTGCAGCTCTTCCATGTGCTTTGCTCACCAGTCTGAAGGCGCTCGTAGGAGCGTTTCACTCTTTAGTCTGAACTGGTTTCACATGTTTATGTCAGACACAAAAGCACTCCACATCACTCTCCTCACATCCTGTAGAGCAGGGATGTCACATTATAGTGTTTCTGTTAGTTTTTAACAGATTAAAGATAAACATCGCCTTCCTGTATTCCCCTGATGGAGGTGCAGACACCAAGTTGGCTCCTGAAGCAAAACCCTTCATTTCTCGTCCCAGTTCAATTATCGGTCCAAATCATACCACTCTGACTCCAAAGAAGGAAACATTGAGATCTGATAATGGTGTGCAACAGCATTATCAGATCTCAATAATAATGCTGCCCATAATGATGGGCAGACACCACCCTCACTGATGCACATCCAGTCATTTTGTTGTTTAAGGGGGATTGAAACAGTTTCAGGTCAGACAAGAGCTTCACAGGTTACTTCTAGCAGACGTGTTTCAGGGTATGAAGATATAAATCCTTGTTCTTGCTCGATGAACTTGGGCTCATGGATTATGCAATATTTAGATCATCTTTACAGAAGATTTCATGGCAGTTTCTTAATCTTAATTTTGTTAAAGTCTATATGGTTTGTTTATTTTTAGGTTGGTGCTAAATCATTTATCTGATAGGCTTTATTGTGAAGTACTACAAAATAAAAGTCATATTTGTACCGAATTTGACTTGCAAAAATAAAAGTCACTGAAGAGGATGTTTTACTGTCACCACCAGAGCCAAAGACCAGAGCTGGATTCTTAAAATATTCAAGTGAAATCACACTGGATCCAAACACAGCAAACACACATCTGTTATTATCTGAGGGGAACAGAAAAGCTATGTATACCAAAGAAGAACAATCCTATTCTGATCATCCAGACAGATTTACTGGATGGCTTCAGATCCTGAGTAAAGAGAGTCTGACTAGACGTTATTACTGGGAGGTGGAGTGGAGAGGAAAGGAGTTGAAGTAGCAGTCACATACAAGAATATCCGAAGAGTAGGAAAATCAGACGTGTTTTTTTGGATTCAATCAAAAATCGTGGTCACTGAAGTGTTATATCAACAAATATGAATTTTGGCACAACAAAGTCCCAACTGTCCTCTCAGGTCCTCGGTCCTCCAGAGTAGGAGTGTACCTGGATCACAGAGCAGGTATTCTGTCTTTCTACAGCGTCTCTAAAACCATGACTCTCCTCCACAGAGTCCAGACCACATTCACTCAGCCGCTCTATGCTGGACTTGATTTTTTGGATCATGAAGATACTGCAGAGTTCATTACACTGAAATAGACAGAAGCCACTGATGGACAATTGGTTAAAATGTGTGTTTTATTTTCCACTTTTTTTTGTCTACATCATTGTTGAGATGGGAGTTGCTGAGAGCTCACAGTTGTGCTGTTTTTACTTTGCACGGAGATCACCTGTCAGTCACACTGAATAGCTGTCCTTTGACCTTTTGTTATCCGTTTTCTATATTTTCCTAACATTACGTTTATATGCCATTTAAATGTTGTTCTTGTACTAATTAAATGTTAAATATATCAAAAAGAAGTCAAAGTGGCACCAAAAAGTTATTTCCTGTTTTCTTTTAATAAAGCGCACACCCTTATCCCTAATGACCATTTTGTGCCACGCCCCAAAAACTGCTATAAAAACATTATATATTCATATTTTTTTCCACTTTAAATTAGCCAATCTTTTAAAACTACTTCTCCCTGAAATATTTATATAAAGTTTTAAATATATTTTAATTATTTATTTATTTTTAATCGTAGTTTAATTACATGAGCGCCCTGTTTTTTTAGCCCCAAAAAACAAAAAAACTAAATATTTTCAAAAAAAACCATTTGAAGTAATATTTGATTGTTATTATAATTAGGCCTTCAGATGGACCAAAGATTGGCACCAACATTCATTTTGACCTGCCATTTTTTTTTTTGCAGGAGCACATTAAAAAATGCATGCCTAAGGACAATTCCCCAAAAAGTGCAATAAAAATATTAAATATAATTTTTTTTTCACTTTAAATTGGTCAGTCTTTTAAAACTACTTCTCCCTGAAATATTCATATAAAGTTTTAATTATATTTTCGTTGTTTTAACCCTTTAAATCCCAGTTGTATTACATGAGCGCCCTGTTTTTCAGCCCCAAAAAACAGAAAAACTAAATATTTTTAAAAAAAAAACATTTGAAGTAAAATTTTATTGTTATTATAATTAGGCCTTTAGATGGACAAAAGATTGACACCAACATTCATTTCGATCCATTTTTAATTTTTTTTGCAGAAGCCAAAAATGGTCTCCAGGCGGCGCTGCTGCTCCAGCTCCCCGGGGAGGAGTGCCTCTGCCGCGGGTGTGTCTCGCGCAGCGCCGGGGCATATGGTTCGGTTTCCGTGTCTGCAGCACACACTTCCGCTACCACGTGAAAACAAATACGTCATTTCCTGTTGATTTAAAAAAAAAAAGCACCATCAAACGATCCTAAGGGAAGGAAATGGTCCAGCCCGGTCAGCGGGCCGAGCTGCCGCTGCATGCAGGGAATGAGTGTGCCTTTTCCCGCGAGTGTGTCTCGAGCAGGCCGCTGGAAAGGGGTATTTCCGAGCAGGCGTCAAATGTGAAACAAGGGCGCCACCTGGTGGACAAATAAAAAAATTACAACTCTAAGGCCTCTAGTACAAAACGAAACCTAAGCTGGATTCATGACGATCCCTTTGACCGTAATTTTTTAGCCGTGAAAAATAGCGTTTATAATGGAAGTCAACGGGCACAAAATGACCACTAGGGGTATGGGTGTGGGGATTTTTGCTGCTCAGCCATTTTAGGCTGATTTAAGAAATTAACACTGAAATATTAAATCGGACAGAAAAAAAACTATCCTTTAACAAGTTTGGTTATATTCCACTGAACACAGTGGAAATGGCAGCCATTTAACACATGTAAGTGGCAACAAATGGCCCCAAGAAGGCAGGAAGGTTCAGTAAATTCAGAAGGTCATATTCGTAATAAAAAATAACCTCAGTTTGTAAATGTCAAAACAATAAAAGTATTGTTTTGGGAGAATAAACTCACAGATCAAATGTTAGATACTGAAACATTATTTCAGTCCTTCCAAGATACAGAGTTATAATAAAAGTTTGCCAGTTATCTGTCCTGAGTCTGACCGCTCTTACATCTGTGTTCTTCATTAACGTCTTGTCTTCAGGCTTATAATTTGGCCGGTTTCTCTTAAATATTTGTGAACTAAAGACAGCTTCAACCCTCTGTGTGTTGACCGCACTGCATTTTCTTGTTAGTAATAGCAACACCATTGTAACGACAGAAATACTAATTAGTTAGATTACTAGTTACTGAAAAACATTTATCGCCATTATTCCCATTTGTGCGAATTTACAAAACATTTTGTAAAGATTGCTGGTATTTTTGTGCCCTTAAAAAGTGGAAATAATGATGAGAGCTGAATGAATGATAGTGACACGCAGATCTCGTTTTCACTCGTCTGTATTGAGTGTTACAAAAACAACACAACCCAAACCATATTCTCTCTGCATGGATACACTCAGTCTCAGGACCACAGTTTCCAAACTAAGTTGCCCTGTTTTAACTTATGAGAGTATTTAGACGCTGCACAACTTGAACTGTAACATAAGGTAAATACATCTTTTTAACTCACATATGTTAGCTGACACATTCTCTGACTTTCAACAGTAATGAAATAATACTTTATGCGCTGTATATGTCTTTCAGTAGTTAACTTAAATACAGATAGTGGCAGAAAAACTTCATTCAATAAGGCGGGACACCAGTGAAAGCTAGCTTAAACAGCAACGGAGTTCACCTGAAACTTCTCAGCAAAAACTGTCCACAAGTCACCTCTTTCCTTACAATAAACAATGATGGTGGGCTAATAGTCAACTGTAATACACAGAGTTCTGTGCGTGCAGTTACCTTAAACAGGGGAAACGAGGAGAGATGAATGATGATACTGACACAAAGCGCTGGCTTTCACTCGTCTGTACAGAGTGAAGGACAAGAGGCGCGAATCCCTCTAGTGGAGCCCTGAGGAATTACCAATGGATCGATGCACAATCAATCCAGGACATTGTTCCTTCTCGAAAATTGAAAGATATTTCACGCACTGTTATTTATAGAAGGCTTCACACTGTTCCTGCTAGCCATAAATATTGTTCCTAAAGTTTTATCCAACTGTAGACAGATTTCTAAACTCCCTTTTACTTAAGTCCTGTTGAAACTTGTATTAGAAAAAATATTAGAAATTATTTAAAGTTATAAAGCACAGCACAGAACTGAAATGGCACAGTAGTTAACTTTACAGTTAGGCTGGGGTACAAATTTCCTCATAAAAACCCTGCTCTTATGTGGAATGACTCAGGGGTCCATTCTTGGCCCAGTATTTTTTCCCTCAATTTATGGGTTCATAAAAACCTTTATAAAAGTGACTAAATGCTAGGTATAATAGGTATTTTGTCTGCTTTGGATTTTACTTCTACATTTCACCTTTAAAAACCGTTTATCTTGTCTTGTTTGGTATCATTCTTTTCAGCACACCTTAACATGTCAAAATTTACAGCTATTTTTTCATTTTGAAATACTATATTAAAACAATTGATCTCAAATCAGACAAAAAACATAAAACTCGAGTATAAAAAAGTAGAATTTTTTTCCACTAATAGAAAGCCAAGGTTTTTGCTTTCTGGGTTTTTTTTGTCACAAACAGAGAATTATTATTATATATTATGCTTCCCTTCCCGCTGTAAACACAAAGTTAGTATTCAGGAAAAAAAACATTGCGCATATTTTTAATCATAACTCTGGTTTTATGTTACCTATCAACACAATTTAAAAACTGGTAGTTTGAAGTCCACACTTTTAACACAGAAATGGAGAAACCTCTTCTGTCCGCCGATCCAGGAACTTGAATTCTTTGAATTTCAGGATACTTTTTCTTAATAAACGGTAAGCATTATACATATTGTCCTTACAGAGGTGGTTTCTCTTCTCGCAAGTGAAGTAGATTTTTTGAAGGCGTTTGTTTTTTTCGAGGTCGCGGATGATGTCAGGAGAAGATGATTGTTCACTTGCAATGTTGAACCTGGAACAACATTATTTATGATGACGAGGGAACAACACCAACACAAGGATATCAGATCGTCTGGACACTCAGGGTTGTCTTGGGTAGCATCTTGTTGCTATGTCATCTTACAGTAACTTGGTCAGTAGTTTACCATGACTACTTTATTCTTCCTCAGCCAATCAGCAGCACTTGTGCAATTGTAACCTGTTGTGTATATAAACCTTCATTAACTGGTTTGAGAAATCCTTTAAACAACCAGTGACAGGAAAGTTGGATCACAGTGGTAATTATTAAAGGACATTGATGTTTGATGTCTCATTTCATTCGTCATCTGTCATTGAAATTATCAGAGGAGGCCTGAAAGGCTCACACTAGCTGTACAACCACTCACAGCAGCCCATTCATTCATTTTCATTGCTGACACTGGATTGCCCAATCAAATCTCTTAACTTGACCAGCCCATCCCCAGCTTGTAGGAAAAGTTCAGTGTGGAAGAAGTGGTGAAAAGATTGAGCTGAAAAGCTGAGCGAAAACAATAAACAGAAACTACAACTATTAGCCAGACCTTACAGTCACACAGCAAATCAAGGATTAAGGTCAAATGATTGGCTGCTTTCACCATGAGCCACTGCTAATTTTTAAAGTGTAGCATTTAATTATTGTCAAATGCTTTTAAAAAGAACAATCACTGCTTGTTGTTTTAAAACTGATAACTTAAGCATGTTGATTGACTCATCTTCCTTTCCGCCTGCCTGGAGGCTCCCTTAACACCTCTCTCTGCCTCCTAACAAACCTTCCCCCTCTCATCTCGCTTCATCTTTGGCCTACAGTAGCACAGTTTCCACCAACACCTTGCTGGCCAACAGAAACTCGTACCTTAAATGAAATAAATGATATGGAGCACTCCAATCATGCTTTCAAAACTACAGCAACTGCTAAAGAAAGAGGTGATAAACATGCCCCTGCGCCTGGTTCTTGTTGAAATGAGTTACTAACATGATTTCCCCTTCATGTATGGTGATAGACTGGCCAAAAATATTAGGAATGCTCTGGAATTTCTGATGAAGCCAACAGTAAGTGTTGCTTTAAATCGGGGGTATTCAACAAAAATGAAAAGACTTCTTACTTCTTAATGCAAAGGTTCAGATGATCATTATTCTAAATATTTAATTACTTTAAATGATTTTATTTTATTTATTTTATTTACTTGTAATATATATTGTATTATACATATTATATTTTAAATATAGAGATAAGAAAAATCATTAGAAAAAGTTGTTATTATTGGTATTATTAGTATTATTGCATATTAATGATGAAGGAACTGACCTCACAGGTCACAGAATCAACTTTTTGGTAACAAGTTAATGTGGTAGTTCAACAGTTTAACCAGCAGAGGGAGCCAGATAAGCTGTTTTGAATTCAACACTAACAGGCAGAGGGGGAGGAGGAGGGACTGTTGCCGTAGTAACTGAATCTACAAAAGTCAGTAAGTGTTCGTCTTAATTAAATCACACTTAGCTGTTAGTGTTCATCTTCAGGCACTGAATTCACTTACAAGAAACAGTCCAACAGATTCACACAAGGGGAACATGTTCGCTGTTTTTTCTGCAGCTGTGAGGACTGTTAGCCTGGACATAACAAGCTGTGTGGCTGCCCCACTGTTCAAACTTCAGGTTCCGAGTACCAGTTTTAGTTTTAGAGCTCAGCAGACCCAGTAGCTCATCACCACTGCTCCTCCATAACAACAGTGGTGAGGCTGAAGGGGACTGGAAAATAATGTACATGGAAATGAATCGCTGTAAATAACACTATATAATGTTTGATGATAATACAGTCTGAAGGTTAAATAAACATGTTTACTGCCTGGTATAACACTTGGTTTCGTCTCTGGGGATAGAATTGTGTCCACTTTGACTTGTGGTAATTAATGTGGAATTTTTCACTTGGTTGATTTGTTGAACTTTCTTAAATCTCTTCTTTAAACACAGTGTCATCTGATTGTATTTACTGACCATTTTAGAGATTTACAATCAATAACTGGGAAACGGGAAGCATTTCACACTCTGCTACCGATGAGTCTCATGGTGCTTTCACCACAAGTTTTTTAATAAAAATAATAAAAATCTACAAAAACACACGAACATAATTTATTAGTACAGTAAAATCCTAAAAATTCAGTTAAATTCCTAAAAAACAAGAAGTGTTCATCCAGGAACCTTTAAATGGTCTTCAGATCCCCAGGCCTGCATAAAGCACCATGACGCAACTGCTGTTGTGTTCATTTGCTTATTAAAAAATTGAATTAAATTGATTAATGATTATTAAATAAACAATTATTATGCGGTCAGCATGGTGGCACGGTGGTTAGCACTGTTGCCGCACAGCAAGAAGGTCCTGAGTTCAATTCCACCATCAGGCCGGGGGCTTTCTGTGTGGAGTTTGCATGTTCTCCCCGTGTTTGTGCAGGTTCTCCCCGGATACTCCGGCTTCCTCCCACAGTCCAAAAACATGCAATAGGGGGATAGGTTAATTGGTCAATCTAAATTGCCCATAGGTGTGAATCTGTGAGTGAATGTTTGTCTGTGTCTCTATGTGTTAGCCTGTCTCTTGCCCTATGACAGCTGGGATAGGCTCCAGTGCCCACTGCGACCCTGGAAAGGAGAAGCGGATGGATGGATGATTATTATGCTCTTCTCACATAATGTCTCAAACTGGTTACATTCATAAAATACTTGGCAGGTATTTTGTCTTTCTACAGCTGAACCATGACTCTTCAGAGTCCAGACCATATGCACTCAGCTGCTCTGTGCTGGACTTTATCTTTTTATCAATCATGGAGACCCTGCTGACTTCATTAGTTTATTAGTTGTTGATAGAAATTCCACAATATGTGGTTTATATTGTCTGGTGTGATTTTCTTTTCCCTCTTTGTAACAGGGCAGCCCTTAGCGGCTGGAAACACAGTGAGACAGACCAAGGCAAGTGTAGTGGAACAAAGTATTTATTTGCTATATGGCTCTCCTTAAAACAATTAACTTGTCGAGCTTCTTCACAGCACAAAAATCCATCCTCTAATGACAACTGGCAGCCTTAAATATGTTCAGCTGTCACAGACTTAACCATTATTCCACTCTCAGGTAAATTCTTAAATCCCAACCTTCCACCACAGTATACAATATATCAATAAGAATAAATAAATACATAAATACATCTTCACATTTACATATTAATAAATATTTCACACTTTAATGTTACACCAAACCCAATATTATAAAAACCCAGAAACCCAAGCACAAAAAGATTCACCACACTCTCTTTACCAATGGTCTCTCCCGGAACCTTTAAATGGTGTCTGGACCCCCGGGGAAGCATTTGCCCAAACACCTTGAAGAGGACACAGGCAAGAAAGGTGAGTAATCATTAACTTACACTTATTTGCACCACTTTTATCCCTAGATTTCACACACACATTTGCATTAGTTTTCCTTACTGGTCAGCCTTAATCACAATCTCAATCACCATTCTTCTCTCCTGACAGACAACCACCACATTCCTTGATGAGGAGCAGCTGTGCAGGATCTGAAACAAGGCCACCAACTGATTTTAAAATTCCCAATAAATAGTCAATAAATATTTAAACTTCTTGTGTGCAAATCCATGCTTAAAGTGCAATGCTCATAAAGTGCTTGATAAGGTGCTTTTAATAAAGTGAAAGGTGTGCTCTAAAGTGCTATACAGACAATACAATATAAATAAATGCAGTAAGGGAGTCCTCTTCCTTACACTCTTAATGAAAACTTCTTGACTTGTGGATTTATTTGTGGTTTTGTCTGTTCGTCTTTGCTAATGCAAAGAGAAAATTAGTGTTGAAATATATGTAGACCTGTAGAAATTTACTCGTTCGTGTAGAAAAACAGTCAAATGAAACATTCTGGACTTTT